GCATATACCCTAATAGATTATTGCTCCATCGTTTGCTTTAGGGGCATATAAAGCTCTACGGGTTATTTAATGATGAAATCTAAATATTTTGAACACAATTGTATAGCTTCAAGTAAATATAATTTGAATTCAATGTAGGAATTATATAAATGCTCGTTCCAAGTCGACACACAGATCAGACTAAAATATTTCAATCGAAAATGATCATAAATAGATAAGAGAGTTACCTCTCCATATTATTTTGTGTCGTCAATTCAAAGAGCTTTATTTTATATCGCTACACACATCATGCAGTGTTGGAATGCTTTCCTGTTGATTGCTCCAAGTTTGTAATTCAGTTTCCTTCTCTTAGATTACCGGAAACCCAAGGCTCTAGATCATTATCTACCATGGTATTTATCCACTAATTGTAAGTGTCGAGAGATACGGATAAAGGCCTTCATCAACTGCATTAGTTAATGCATCAAAGCAGCCTGGAACTCGATTCGCGTATTACATCTTCCTTGTCGATATCTGTCAGCCTACACGCACATCATCCGATCACAAACTTTGTTGGTTGTTTTTTTAGTGGTATATCAACCTCTATGGGTCATTTAATGCCCAAATCTAAATATTTAAACACATTTTTTTTTAAATAATAATTGTTTTAGCGATAAAAGTTTTAATAATTAACCCATAGATGGGGAGAGAAGATGTTGATTCATACCCTTCCCAATTGTATTTGCTCGTAAGTGAATATGATGAACCCAACTGGAATTATAATTCGGCGCTCTGATTAGCACTACTTAGGCATTATGCATTTCTCTACCCACATATCCAAGCTTACAACACCTACTATGCCCAATCAGTCACCCATCAAGGCACTGCCCGGGCACGAGATTTGTTTAAATTCGCTGATCTTAAGGGGACGTTGTTTCAAAGAGATTTAACCATAAGCCATTTTTTTATGTCATAATGGCCAAATCGTATATTTTTAGATTTTAAAAATATATATTTTAAGATAATAATGATTTATTGAAACAGAGTTTAGTAATCCATTATTATTTGCCACAATTAAGACTTCACCTTTTCTGCCAAAAGTCCCCCAATCTGAATCCTACTGAGCATATATTGAATGGAATGGAGCAACAAGTTCGGTCTACAGAAACTCCACCACGAAGCTTTCTGCAAGTTTTAGAATCGGCTATTAAAATGCTGGCGCAATTTCCAGAGAAAACATTCAGCGTCTGTAACTGATGAGGTAAGAAATGGTTTGATGACACATAAAAGGGACATTACATTATTAGGCTGGGTGTCGTAAAATTTTAAACCATCATTGTATGGATGTCTGTACGCATTAAACTGGCATTCCTAAACGATTGTCTTTAATGATCACTCTTAATACAGGGTGCGATAGGAAAATTGTCGTCATTTAATTTTTTTTCAATTTTGCGCATGCGCATTGATTGGTTTTGGATTTTGTCGACTTCAAAGTATAGTAGGGTCAGTTGGTCACGGCCTGCGAGAAAATAGAGCACTCCGAGAGATTAACCACTACCATCACTTGACAAGACACCAGAAGTGTTGAAACAAAATGGTTATTTTTGTAGAATTTTTAAATAAATATTATTCGCTCTATTTTGTATTGAGTACATTTTTAAAAATAGTGGTTTTGTTATCGAAATTTTATTCCATCTATAACAACCCTGTATTTGGTTACATATATATATATATATATATATATATATATATATATATATATATATATATATAATGCTAGGGAAAATTAAGTGACCCCTTAAGATAATATTTTAAATAATTGTCTCTTTTTTCCACATAATCAGCTAATCTTAATTAAGCTACAAAATCACTAAGAAAAACCTTTACTACATGAATTACAACCACTTTCAAAGATTTATATCAAGTTGGAATAAAAATATTAATTAAAACTAAGATGTGCAAAGGTAAGTGAACCCTTAAATTTACACTGTATTTTTGTTTTACATGGTTGCCAGAGCAAATAATTTTTTGTGCACATGTAAAAATCAAAATGGACATGTTCATTGGGGGGGGGTAAGCTGTGTATACAGCAGTCAAACAATATAACTCATTGTGTATGCAAAAGTGTGCAGTTAGAGACTGAATTTAAAAATATATATATGCAAATATTAAAAGAATTCACTGAAGCTTTAAAAATCACATACTTCAAACCTATAATGATAGAGAAGGATACAAAAAGCTATCAAAAATGATTTGGAGTGCATGTCTCCATTGCGCAACAACTTATTTATAAATGGAAAGCTTTTTTTATGATGATATCACAATGAAGAAGAGGCCGTCCTGGAAAGCTAACAGCAAGAGCAAGTGGACATCTAGTTCGGCAAGGTCAGGCAAATCCTGCCATGATCTTTGCGGCTCTTCAATGACGATTGGAAGAATGCCTAGAAAAAAAGACACTGCTTACGAAATAGAACAATATGCTCACCTCAGGTTAACCACGTTTCTCCTTACGAGGAGTAGTTAATTCATTTGAACATTTTAAAACCTTTATTCTACAATCTACATTCAACATCATCACTTGATAAGACACCAGAGGTGCTGAAACAAAATGGCTCTTTTTGTAGTGATTTTATAACATATTTATGTTATAATTTTTAAATAATTATTATATTCGCGCTACTCTGTATTGAGCACTCTTTCAAGAATAGTAATTGTTGGTTATTGGAATTTATTCCGTATACACTAATCCTATATATATATATATATATATATATATATATATATATATATATATATATATATATATATATATATATATATATATAAATATATGCCAAAACGTAAAAGAATTTAAATTCACTATATTTTTAAGCTGGTTCCGATGAAATCCTAAAGGACGAATATATTTTCCACTTTGACATAGATATTTTTCCCCAATATCTTTCTTGATAGATGAAAATGTATATATCATTATCTATATATATATATATATATATATATATATATATATATATATATACCTTTATTCGTCTTTTGAAGCTATTTCTACGCGTAGTTTAGATGTGACACAGCACCGAATACATGAAGCATCCTACGAGAAGCGAACTCAGTACGTTGTCGTGGATCCATCGAGTAAAGCTTAAGTAACCATTACACCACGGCGGAGTCGGCTCGTTTGATGTCTTAATAATTTTCACTTATTAATTTGGGTAATTCAGAAAAGCCTCATTCCGTCCGTAAAAATAAACCTGCAGCCCATGTATATACTGCGTTACTTTTTATCTAATTAACTAAGGAATTACTTTAACTAATTGGTTCGTTTTTTGCTTTGTTTTTTACAGATTATCCACCCTTTGTCCGTTAAAAAAGGTTTAAAAAATATTTTGAATTATAAAGACAAATCATTGACGTTTTTTAAAGATAACAGTGACTTCTCAAGATACAGGTCCTAAAACTTAACCCATAGCTGGAGAAGGACTAAAATGGATCCATACAATCCTCAAGGGTATTTGCGTGTAAGAGAACGTACCAAAACCGAATTTGAATTCGACTCTCCAAATTCTCATTCCGATACGCGATCTATTGCACCACCTGCACACCCTCCATAAGGAATAAGCGCTGAATATGGTGTGGTAATAGTAAGTAGCAAATAAAAAGATCTTAAGAGATTCATCATGGTGATAGCAAATAAAGAAGACAGCAGTTATGTAAAGAAATAAAAACAGAAGGAAAAAAATGAAATGCAGCAAAAGACTTTTAAAAACTGATTCAAGTTATATCAACAGCGGCAACGATAGTGTTGGCGTGAAGCCATAGTTAAAAAGTACGTCTCGTTTACTATATACTTAGTTCGTGTATTTATATCACACTTCGGTTTATCAGCCAAATGAATCTAAGCTTAGTAAATCCTTATAGTGATTTACCCAGCATAGCTTAGATGTGATACAATGCCGAAAGTATGACTCACTCAGTCGAAATCACGACTCAGTCGTAATTGAGCTAGCGAGATAAACTTACTAATCATTAGACCACGTCAAAGTACCTATTGCAAATCCCTTGATGCGCGCCTCAATGAAGACAAATGATTAGCTGGATGGTCTACAGCTAATGTGCTTAATCTAGTCATAGCTACGATTGTGTTCGTGGACCAAACTTAGATATCTTTCTTAAATACCTTTCTTTTTTAATTATTTCAACTGAAGCAATGTGATAAAAACACTAAGGCGGAAGTGGGTTTACTGAGTTGGAAAGAATCTGAAAAAAAAAACATCATTAGGGAGAAAGGACAATAAAAGAACACGATTCAAGGCGACAAAAGATAACAATTGACATTGCATTTAAATTTTTAAAGATCGTAGTTGACAGGAAACTAGAAAAGAGTCCAACAAGTGCGGCAGAAGAAACGATTATCATAGGATCTACATTTGCAAGTAAAAATCTCAACAATAAGATCATGCGATCGAGCTGACAGTCCAGTTTTGCGCTTAAATTCGCGAAATCGGGAATAGGAAAGCCAAATCGTTACCCGAGTATCGCATCTGTAGAAATTAAGCTTATCTAATATTTCAAGTAGCTCTCCGTGTCGTATCCTTAGGTATAACGTATATTAAAAACACTGCTGTGAACGATTTAAAAGTTTTGTTCGGTACCACTGTCTTGCAGTACGTGAAGAAGAGTCCGTGTTTTCCATGGGTTTAGCGTATGTAAAGAAAAAGGGGGAAACAAATAATGCAAAGAATGGGTCCAATTGTCTGAATGACTATAGGAATGTCAATATAAACTCTCATAGTAATAGGAAAACGTCAAATTTCTTATATGAAGACAGAAGACAGTTAGACCAGTAAAAAGCGCGAGAGATGGAACTTTAGCATAGAACATTATATTCATCTAGTAATTTCAACAGTAAAATAATGAGACCTATCTGACAATTATTCATAAAGTCGCCGAGGTACCAAAAATAAAGCTAATCATAAAAATTACTATGAAAATATGTGGAGTAATTGTTCTGGTGGTATTTCTTCTTACAAGACCAAAGAATGGAATAGTGACAGAATAATACAATGATCTGAAAAGAAAAGAAAGAGGAGCCTAAATGAAAGTAACAGGGTAAAAATAAAAGAAGAAGATAAAAGGAGAAACAGAGAGAAGAAAAAGAGAAAGTTGTAAGAGAATGAAGAAGAAGAAAAGGAGAATGAGAACAAAAAAATTGAAAAGTGAAATTTACGGAATAGTAAAGGAAGTGCTCTATTTTAAAAGCGCTGACTAACAAGCCAGATACATCGGCAGAGTCTCGTCTATGGTGGTAGACAGCTACCCGACCCCGTTTTTTACGGGGTCTACGTGGAATTTTTGACCGAGCCTACGGGCTCGGATACCCCACGTTAAATTCGGCCTTGTGCCAAATCTGACCGCGTATGTCTGTTGGCAAATATCCTTCATTTGGAGATTCGTCTCCAGCTAAGCTCGTCGAACTCTCTGCCTACGGGCAGAGAGGAACCCAGACGAGGCTCTGCCGAAGGGCAGAGCCTCGTCTAGAGTAGTAGACAGCTAACCGACCCCGTTTTATGACCGAGCCTACGGGCTCGGATACCCCACAATAAACTTGGCCTTGAGCCGCATCCAACTGCGTGGGGCGGTAGGTGAATATCTTCAGTCGAAGATTCGTCTCCAGTTGAACTGGTCGAACTACCTGCCTTCGGGCAGAGGGTAACCCAGACGAGGCGATGCCGAAGGGTAGCGTCTCGTCTGGGGTGGTAGACAGCTACCCGACCGCGTTTATTACGGGGTCTACGGGGAATTTTTGACCGAGCCTACGGGCTCGTATATCCCACGTTAAATTCGGCCTTGTACCACATCTACTGGGTTTACGGGGAATTTTTGCTCTAGCCTACGGACTCTGATACTCCACGTTAAATTTGGCCTTGTTGACAAATATCCTTCAGTTGGAGATTTGTCTCCTACTGGTCGGTTCAAACTCTCTGCCCCGAGGCAGCGAGGATCCCCTGACGAGACTATATTGAACAGCAGAATCTAGTCTCGGGAAACAGCTACTCGACCCCGTTTTATATGGGGTCTACAGGCTCGGATACTCCACAATAAATTCAACATTTTGCCACATCTGACCGCGTGGGGAGATTGGTAGATATCCTGCAGTCGCAGATTCGTTTCCAGTTGTGCTGGTTAAAATCTCTGCCTCAGGGCAGAGAGGATCCCCAGACGAGGCTATGTCGAGTTTCGTCTCGGGAAACAGCTAACCGACCCCGTTTTATACGGAGTCTACGGGGAATTTTTGATCGAGCCTATGGACTCGGATATCCCATATTAAATTCAGTTCTGTGCCAGATCTGAGCGCGGTTGGTAGATACCCTGCAGTTAGAGATTGACTCACTTCTAGCAGTTGACTACTTCTACGCGCCGCTGGCGAATCTTATATTCTCATCCTAAGTATTATCGTTTGATAATTCTATTCAGTAACCTTCCCCAGGTTACTACAGATATTAATCTAATCCAGAACCTATACTGGCAGCAATCCGCATTCATACAGATAGAAAATGAATCCAGTAAATATACAAAAAAAGAAATGGTATGCAAGACAAGAATATGTCTTCTCAACGGACGTATTTAATCTCTACAGAGCGGTTATTCTAAGAGAAACAGAAGTCTTACCTGGATTCATTATTAGCGTCCATAATCTCAAGAAAATTAGATAGGCAGATGACACAGTGTTGATACCAGACACAGAAAGGAAAATATAGACACTAAAGTAACTAAGAAAAGAAATTCAGAAGCAAAGGACTAAATATCAATTGTAAGAAGGTAGAATGCATGATTGCTAGCAGAGACAGCCCAACATGCAAATTACAAATTGGAGATACCAAACTCAAACAACTAGAACAATTTACATATCGAAGAAGCGTTTTAGCTGAAGACGGAAAGTGCGACGCTGAAATCCGAAATCACATTGGGATAATGAAAGATGCCTTCAAAAACTATGCAACAGAAAGAGGATAGTTTCGTTGCAAACAAAGAAAAGAGTAGTAAATTCTTACGTAATAACACTCCTCCTATATTGTACTGAGTGCTGGAAAATGTCTTCACAGATGAAGAAGAGACCAAAAGCAACAAACATCTGGTTCTACAGAAGGATGCCGAGAATACTATAGACCGGACCTGTGAGCAACATCGACGTTTTTGGGAAATGGAAACCAAAAGGACATTTATATTTATCATCAGAAAGAGGGAGATGAGATTTCTACGGGAAAAATGGATTTGGAAATTTGGTAAGCACAAGAAAGATTGAAGGAAAACAACGAATAACCTGCCTAGCGAACTTGAGTAAATGGATGGGTGTACAGGGTTTAGAAGAGATAACAAAAATTTATTAAGATCGACAAATGACAAAAAATTGTTGAAAATCAGGATCACTACCAACATTAACGGGGACGACACATAGAAGAAGAAGAAGAAGAAGAAGAAGAAGAAGAAGAAGAAGAAGAAGAAGAAGAAACAAAAAAACAAAAGGAGGAAGAAGAGACGAAAATGAAGTAGGGTTAGTCCCAAGAGAAAAAGAAAAAAGATTTTAGTAGGTAAAGGAAGAAAAACGAAGAATATAGATATGAACAGGCTTTATGATAGCAGTGTAGAAACAGGTCATCGTCAGAACAGAAGAGGAAAGCTAATCAAATTTAAACAAAATAATATGAATAACATTTCAATAATTACTCTCCCCACCCACAAAATAGCTACCATTATGGTTCGATTGCTCCTGTGTTGTTTAATTTTTTCTGCACTTTTTCTCTTTCGTTTCTGATTGGCTGTGACAACACACGCAAACTTTGTCACTGCTATGTCAAACTGAACACTTTTTTTTATCTACGTATGCTTCCATGATAAAGATTTTATTTTGGTTTATATTTGTTATTTTCTGGGAATTTGTGTTTGGTTGTCATTATTCTTAGTTTGTTTATGATAATGATACTTACAATGATTGTTCTTCCCGTTTTCGATTCATTGCTAGTTCCTCCATTGTCATGCCTAAAAATGTATGTCTGTTTTTCCATGATTAAATATTTTCCTCTTCTGTCTCATTGTCGTATGTTGCATCTTAGGATAGGAAAAAAAAACAAAATGTAATTTGATTTCGTTCGCATTGGAAAATAAGATAATAACGAACGACTGTTGGTTGGATTTTTTTTTTTCAACCCTTCGTACGCGCATGCGCAGAGCAAATCAATGATAGAAATACTAGCTTTCATGTAATCAAGCATTTATTCAAGGAACTAGATTCGGCGGCAATGTAAAAAAGACAATTTATCTTGGCGGCAAAACGATTGTTGCATGTTTGGCTACATTTCTGTCTTTATTTTTATCACTTCTACATATAGAAACATATATATTGCTTTTTTCTGGGTTTTTTTTTTACTGTAAGTGTCGCAGATTAACAAATGTCCATTGTTCAATTATTAAATTAGGTTTTTTACTTGGTCGTTTCAATATTACTGGGCATATTTCATGGACGTATACATAGAATACTAATCATAAACGTAAATATGTCCAAGCACTAAATATACAACATTCAGTACATAGACGCATATATATATATATATATATATATATATATATATATATTCGAAGAAGCATAATATGTCTATACATGTTTATACTGAGCCTTTACAGTTGTGTAATTTTCTACATTGAATTAAAAAACATTAAACAAACTCTCATTAATAACCACTGAACCCCGTAAAAAATAAAACTAATTATATATTATGCTAAATTTAACACAACCACCATAAACATGCTCAATAAATCTTCTCCGTGAACTAGTGTTTCGGAAATGATCAACATCGTATATCAGTTTAAGCGTCCTTTGGTAGATAGTATCCCTAACAAAAAAGTAAGTACACATGTCGTTTTGACCAACACAATATTATCAAGTTGTCTTACACTTCATTTGGCGGATACAAGTCCTATTGCAAAATATCTAAAAACACATTCCTGTCCACTGTCACAATACAGAGCAATACTTGTAATGACAAAAGTATGCAGGTATAGGCTTTAAGAAAGCTTTATTCAACTGAGAATGTTCGCGTATTTATAGTCCAAGTAAACAGAAATAGCTCTCTCAAAGAGGAGAGTAACAAAACAAAGGGAGACCACTCTTGATTGTTCATGACAAACACCAATATACTGTACCAAAATACCAATATACACCTAAAATAATAAACAAAAACGTCAAATTCTCGAGGCCCTCTATATCAAAAGTAACCAACCAACAATCAACAAAATTTATAACGAGTATAGCAGCAATGTGTTGAAATGCATATAACAAACATTTAATGCCATTTTGCATGGTACCGATTTCTAATCAGCTCCCTTATATTGGGACGCTTGTTTTGCAAAACATTTGATAGCTGAAGCGTATAATTTTTATATTTTCGAATAATTATAATAGTGCGTTCACCCATGTTTTTAAAAATCACCCTCACTATGAAATGCAGATTTTATCACAGTTACAATTTAATAATTTTAAATGTTATTCTTAGTGGGGACACATATTTGAACAGAAGCTCCCTTTATTTATTAAATAATATATTTATTTATTTATCCTCTACTGGCCTAAATATTCGACAAATCTTATTTTTAAGAAAAAGCACGCGCTCTGTGGCAGGGTTCGGTCAGATGGAGCCGTCGTCAAATACGATATACTCTGACTGGCCTACAAATAACTTTTGCCGATCAGGCAAGGCTGAATAGAGCCTTTAAACAAGATTCTTCTCGTAACAGACTCTCGAAATTTTGTGCGCTCAGTTTCGTTTCCAAACGGAAACAAAGTACATTTAAAAAAGTATTGGATTTTTTTTAATTTATTAATCCAACAGATTTTAAACGTTATTCTTAGTGGATACTCATATGCGAGTAGACGCCCCGTTTATTTATCAATTATTTTTTACTCATTATTATTACTACTATTATTATTATTATAACTTTTAATATATATTATATATATGTATATATATATATATATATATATATATATATATATATATATATATATATATATATAATTTTTTATATATATTATTTATATATTATATAGGGGCGGAACTTATTGAAAGCGCTCAATATCAGTGATAGAGCTAACATATTTAGCTCACATCAATCCAACTAAGATAATATATATATATATATATATATATATATATATATATATATATATATATATATATGATGCATAAATTTTATATACTTCTCTTTTTTGAGCATGTGTAGTTACATCAATGTAATCATATATATATATATATACATGTGTGTGTGTGTGTGTGTGTGTGTGTGTGTGTGTGTGTGTGTGTGTGTGTGTGTGTGTGTGTGTGTGTGTGTGTAAATGATGGATTATTGATATGCCCCGGAAAGGGATATATTTGTTCGAAGTAGCAAAGTGGTTTGGGACTACTGTAACCGGGTAGGACAATCTAGCAGGTAACCGTAATGGACTGGTTCTCGTCGTAGTGGTAGGCAATAGGCGTAGGCAATAGGCGAAGACTATAGGCGTCAATCATGTACCGCCACATCAGTCCGTATTTATGGCTGACACCTGCCAATCATATTACTGTGACGGGGAACCCAGGTGTATGTATATTCATTACATCAATTATTATAATAAAATGTTGAATAAAACTACTGATTAGAATGCCTTTTTCAGCGTCTATTTCGAAAGGCCCAGACTCCATCGGTATCAGCAAATTTCTGTAATACATAAGGTTTGCGGACACTGTTTAAAATACACGCAATATTTTACTATTCAATAAGCGATGGTAAATAGTCACAGTTACTGGTTGAATTTTGTTCTAATTTTTTCAATGTATAACGCTTTATCGCTGTGGTATATCGTGTTAAATACATTAACAAAAAAAGAAGTATAAATACACGGAATTGTTAAAGATAGTAACAACAGAATTCCGGATCTCACACTCTAGTGCAAGCGACGTAAGAGATAATGTTGTAGCGTACCTGTAGAAAACACAGACAGCCTTTAAGATTGTTTGACGGGGAAATTAATGTATATTGTCATTTTCTAAGAGTAGGTTAGAAGCTGCACGTAGCCGAAAGTGTGGGGCACCCAGTGAGGATCGAATTCACTATTCAGTCGTAATTGATTTAGTGTGACAAGCATGCAAACCATCACACCATGTCGAAGTGCCCAAATCGTTTTCTAAGCTTCACCTAGATGTGGCACAAGGCTGAATGTGTAGCGCACTGACTAGGGATCGAACTCACTACTAAGTCGTAAGTGATCGACCAAGATAAACCATTGCTAACCATTACACCACGGCGAAATATTTAAAATAAATGTATATGCCTTAAAATAAATGTATATGCTTTCTAACGGGTGACAAATGATTTCTTTTAGACCGTGGAAGATTTACCTGAGTTCGTCTATGAGAGAAACCGCGTCAGGCAATAATGATTCAGAATTGGTGTGCGGTACGTTCTTGTAGAATTTGTAAGCACTGTTTTTGAAACTGATGTTGGTCTAGATGGACATGGCATCAGGAGATAGCTAATCTCTCATGCTTGAAATGTTTACATCTCATAATGGTTTGTTTAAGTATCCAATGCGACACCGCATCCTAAGCAGATGATACAAAACTGGTTCCAGTAAGAATCGGCCAACTTCTAGATACTCGCCATATTCGCACGCATGATTTAAGCCCCCCCCCATTGAGCCATGTAGGCAAAACGTTGCAGAATTTGTTAAATTGCTTAGAGTTTCTACAGTGTAACCCGGATATAAGAGACCCGGATATAAGAGAAACCCGAATATAAGAGAGATTTTCTCTGAACCCAAATTAGAGCCTGTGTTCATGTATATAAAATAGACCAAACCCGGATATAAGAGAAACCCGGATATAAGAGAAACCCGGATATAAGATACTTCTCCGGTCCCGACAACTCTCTTATATCCGGGTTACATTGTATTATAATCCTACCAACAAGCACAACTCGATCATGAATATCCGGGAAAACGTGCGTGGAAAGATCTTTTTAAATCATTTCCCAATCAAGCAAGGCTATAAAAGTCACTAATATGCAAGAGGCAGCTGAGAGTAAAATAAACAGAGAGGACAATAAAAGAATAGGTTTAAAGGCGGCAGATGATGATTATTGACATTATAATTAGATATTTGAAGATCGTAGTTGGCAGAAAAAAAGTCGGAAGAGACTTCCGCCAGGGAGAAGTACGAGATAAAATAAACGATTAACTTAGGATATATGACGGGAACCTTCAATTTCAACAGTGAAATTATGATAAATTAGGACCTAACTGACAATCCATTACTGCGAGTAAATTCATGAAGTCGACGTTTCACAGAGAATAGTTCATGAGAAAAATTACTATAAAATATTTATAGAAAATGCAAAGGGAAACTACGTTACGGCTTGTGGTAAATGAATGAAGCCAAGATGATAGCTTAAGACCAATAACGCTGCAGATTCCTTGTTGCATTTTGTCAAGACTCTCTAGATATATAGCAGAAAGACCAATCCATATTTGGCAGCAGTATCCGATGCACGGACGAATGGTAGACTTATAAATGTGAGAGATTCTCGCGAGAAAGTTTGTCTATCGACCTTCCTAGTAGCAGTGTTAGTAATCTATTCAATATGATCATTCCCCATCATGTCAGTAAGATCAAGAAGTCGTAGTGATTTGCTCCCCTAGAATTTAGTATCAGTATTACTTATGGATATACCTCCGAAACGAAATCTAGGGTTTGGCGCCGAGTATACCCTATGCCTTCGCTACAAACCCCAGCTATATTTTCATTGGCTAAGGATTTATGACGTAACAGCATATATTACGATGCAAATTTAACGCTCATCATTTATGTGAATAGTAGTAGCATTCAAAAACTTCGCTGCAAAACGGAATTAAAATATTATAATAGTAAGCTTTAAATATCCACATAGGCTACATCAGCATCATGCCATTCCTCTAAGTAATGCTATTTATACAATGCCGGAAGAATTTAGGGTCTTTAACAATATAAAAGCGATTTTCTACTCCACTGAGAGGATATTTCAAAAATATCTTAAGACTGTAGGGTGGATGATAAAAATTCTTGAAATTATCTTCCTTCATGGAAAAATGTTTTGGGACAATGACATGGTGAATTATAATTCTCTCATAGAGGTTTCCACAGCGAAGTTTTTGCATTCAATTTTCCGAAAGCACTTTCATAATAATCCGATATTATGTTTTCCCGTTTATTAAAAAAATAACTAGCAAAATGCGATCAGCATCCCAGAAAACTGTCTCCATCACGATTCCCTCTGGCCTGATGTTTTTCTTATTTGTTTTGTGTTTTTTACCTGGACACGTTCCATCTTTGGATATGTTCCATCATTGGGCAACGATTGCTTTGACTAGGCGTTGTCTTCAGGATCGTACGATCGCAAAGTTAAGCTTCACCTGTAGATAAAATTCTTCTCGGAAATCCTATAGGATTTTGATTAGTTTTGTTGAAAATTTTCATTGACAGCTCTGATCTTATCTGTTTCAGATTTGGGCGCTAAAGTTTCGTTATGCAACAAGCAGAATTTCTTTCACATCTGTAGTTTTTGTTTCCCCATAAAATTGTGTTAGCGTCAACCAAATGAGCTGTCTAGAAATTTTTCTCATCTGTAATTTTTCAAATAAAATTCTGTTAGCTCAACCAAATGAGATATCCACAATGTTTTTCATCTGTAATTCTTCAAATAAAATTCTGTTTGCTCTATAATCTTTCAAATAAAATTCTGTTAGCTCAACCAAATGAGAGGTCTAGAGTGTAAGCTGTTATATCAGTTATTAATCATCGGTCAGCCTCAAATCTCGAAGAACATAACATTTATTTTACCTCACAAAGTGATGGTGATGGGCTGCCGACCAGTTCAGCATCTTTAACACAACTCATTCTCATCCTTCTTTGAAACGAGTTAACCATGCGTAAATTTCGGATTCTTTTATGGAATTATGTCCACCACCATTTTCTCAAAGCACCAATAACATCCCCATTCTTCAAAAACACGTTTTACCAAACAATTGACTAAGAATGTTGTGGCTCTTGAAAGTGTTGTTTTTCAAAATCTCATAAATTTCACTCTATTATTCTTAACACTTTCATTGCTACTCATTTGCCCAGTGCTGCCCCCATCCGGTCAGCCATTTTTAAAGAAAATGCCAAATTTCAACCTACATATTTTATTAAACAGAAAACTGGCACCAGTGTGTTTTACAGCATTCAATTTTCTTGGATATACCTGGGAATGACTTACCAGATAAGTAATGGGTATACACATGATATTTTTTGAAGCATTGTCTTTTGTGATTTGACGATAGATGGCGCAACGGGACACTCATACCAGCGGTATGCAAAAAAAAAACGTAGGTTTCCATACTTAGCCAGCTGGAGCAAGAAAAACGAAGATCTCCGTAGTTAGCAGCAGAAGTGTTAAGTACTTCCGGTTCATACGGATTATAATTGGCGAGTTCAAGTATACTTTCTGGGATAATGAATGAAGAGAAACGGCTTGTGGGGATTTAACATTCACGGAACATATTAAAGGCAGGTAATGCAGATGGAAACATCGCGTAGCCTGCTGGATGAGTGAATGCATGGTAGCAATAAAATATAGGAGGTTATGAAGATCTATGGTTACGTAGATCCTGAAAGAACAGTGCAAATTAAAAATCAAGAATTTTTTTAAACTGGATTATTAATATTGCAATTATCAAATACAATGCCTAATAATGTCGTTTTTGACGTATTTTTCGACATTATTACGTCATTATTTTTAATATTTAACATGGGCCTTGATTGCATTTGAAAAGACCCTTAACGTCCGAGGGGACATGGGGTGTTAACTCCTGTTAGATCAAATGCGAACCTACTTAACAAAACTCAGCAGAGAATTTGTATAATAAAATTACCAACAGTACATTTTTATAGCAAAATGAGACTCAATACAAAACTAAAAAAATATAAAAATGCATCTTTATTGTAAAATTACCAACAATACATTTTATTAACTACAAAATTTATGTCTAGAAAACATAGGTTTACTTTGAAAGTAAAATATTATATACAAAAATACCTGTAATTGAAGGCATAAATTTGCGTACGAAATATTTAGATTTCGGCATTAGATAATTTATAGAGGTTGACATACAGCGAAACAAAATCAACCAACCGACGAAAAGGCGACAGGGGTTAGTGTTCGAATCTCGATAAAAGCTAAGATTCCAAATGTTGATTTTCAAAGCAGGTCCGCCTCGCTTGGAAAACTATCGCAACACATTCTTCCTACGTCAGCTTAGAATTTAAGAAGAACTGGTTGGTAGCAACGCAAGAAATACAAAGATCGATTTAAGAAACGATTTGGTTCGATTCCGGAAAATGTCTGATTTCCATTGTTCTGTTTTGAATCGAGGCCAACGAAGAAAACTGAAAAGTAAAAAATATATTAATAAATTTAAGTTTATCGAATATTAATCATGGAACTGGTTTGTTTTTTTGTAGTGGTAGGCAGATACGTCACACTGAAAAATGTTTTAAAAGAGGAGAAAAAAACATCTTATCTCAGAAGGTTTCTAACTAAATAAAATACGACACCAAATTAAAAAGTGGGTTTGCAGACAGGTCTGGATAATTTTATACGGGATAATAATTTCTTTAATAATGAGAATATGTAATCGTTAAATAAATTGGTCGATATTTTTTAAAACGGTCCATTGAAGTAAAATACACTGGAGAGGAAGATATTAAAGTTTACATGTTGAATGACATAGTATTAGGTTTAGAGAACGTGGCTTCAGGCAATAATACCAACAATGGGAAATCGTAACGAAAGAAAAGTGTGAGTTGAATAAAGTAGAAACTGGAAGAAAGAAAATAATAAAAAAGCCAACAGTGAGAATTGAAAAAAAAAAAGAAAAAACAAACAAACTACTGTTTAACAAGAGCGAACACGCTAGTCTCACTAATCATTATAATTAAATAAGATGAAATAAAAATACAACGAGAAAGAAAGAAAGATAATGAAAGAAAGAGAGACAGAAAGAAAGATAAATATCGAAAGAAAGAAAGAAAGAAAGAAAGAAAGTGAAAGAAAGAAAGATAGTGAAAGAAAGAAAGACAGAAAGAAAGATAAATAGTGAAAGAAAGAAAGACAGAAAGAAGAAAGAAAGAAAGAAAGAAAGAAAGAAAGGAAGAAAGACAGAAAGAAGAAAGAAAGAAAGACAGAAAGAAGAAAGAAAGAAAGAAAGAAAGAAAGAAAGACAGAAAGAAGAAAGAAAGAAAGATAAATAGTGAAAGAAAGAAAGAAAGTGAAAGAAAGAAAGAAAAATAGTGAAAGAAAGAATGACAGAAAGAAGAAAGATAAAAGAAAGAAAGAAAGAAAGAAAAAAGAAAGAAAGAAAGAAAGAAAGAAAGAAAAAGAAAGAAAGATAAAAGAAAAAAAGAAAGACAAAAAGAAAAAAGAAAGAAAAAAAGTGAAAGAAAAAAACAGAAAGAAAGAAAGATAAATAGTGAAAGAAAGAAAGACAGAAAGAAGAAAGAAAGAAAGATAAATAGTGAAAGAAAGAAAGAAAGAAAAAAGAAAGAAAGATAAATAGTGAAAGAAAGAAAGACAGAAAGAAAGAAAGAAAATAAAAGTGAAAGAAAGAAAGAAAAAGAAAAAGAAAGAAAAGAAAAAAGAAAGAAATAAAAAGTGAAAGAAAGAAAGAAAAGAAAAAGAAAGTGAAAGAAAAGAAAGAAAAGAAAGATAAATAGTGAAAGAAAGAAAGAAAGATAAAAGAAAGAAAGAAAGAAGAAAGAAAGAAAGAAAAAAGAAAGAAAGATAAATAGTGAAAGAAAGAAAGAAAGAAAGAAAGAAAGAAAGAAAGAAAAAAGAAAGAAAGAAAGAAAAAGAAAGAAAGAAAGAAAGAAAAATAGTGAAAGAAAGAAAGACAGAAAGAAAGAAAGAAAATAGTGAAAGAAAGAAAGAAAGAAAGAAGAAAGAAAGAAAGATAAATAGTGAAAGAAAGAAAGACAGAAAGAAGAAAGAAAGAAAGAAAGAAAGAAAGAAGAAAGAAAGAAAGAAAGATAAAAAGTGAAAGAAAAAAAAAAAAGAAAGAAAGATAAATAGAGAAAGAAAGAAAGACAGAAAGAAGAAAGAAAGAAAGAAAGAAAGAAGAAAGAAAGAAAGATAAATAGTGAAAGAAAGAAAGACAGAAAGAAAGATAAATAGTGAAATAAAGAAAGAAAAAGTGAAAGAACGAAAGAAAGAAAGATAGTGAAAGAAAGAAAGAAAGACAGAAAGAAAGATAAATAGTGAAAGAATGAAAGACAGAAAGAAGAAAGAAAGAAAGAAAGAATAGAATAGAATGAGAAAGAAAGAAAATATGAAATACAAAGAAATAAAGAAATAAAAATAAATAAAGATAAATAGTGAAAGAAAGAAAGAAGAAAGAAAGAGAAAAAAACCTGCTGTTTAACAAGAGCGAACATGCTAGTCTCACTAATCATTATTAATATAATGGCAACCATTCTAACTTGTCTCACTTGTTGGGGACATACATTTATGATTTTGTATTGTACTCAGCTGAACTTAGAACTTCTTAGAGCACTGGTTCATAAATAATCGTAACAAATTCAATCGGGATTTGCAAATCCACTCTGGTAGCACGTAATAATCCAAACTTATTTCATATATAATTAAAATGCACCATAGAGTTGGGGTTAGCAAGATATGTCTTATCACAACTCTCATGCGTTTAGATAGAAAGTAAAAAAGAAAGAATATCTTGGTTTGGTTTGTTTTACGGAATATCAACCTCGATGGGTTATTTAATGTCGACAAGATCTTGATTGCTAGTAATATTTTTTTCAAAAATATATTTCTGGTAATAATATTTTACAATAATATATTGCTGGTATTAAACATATTTTTACACTTTCATAGTCTTTTAACCCCAATTCGAGGGTTAACTATTTGCCCATAGCTGGGACCCTTACAGGTGCTACCACCCCGGACCAGGGTCGACCTGCGAACACCGGCAATTAAGAGATAGTTTCACGCTCCTCAAAACCTCCTGATCAGAGGCCTTGCTGCTTGATATAGTTTATTGTCATACCTAGGACGCGGATGAAATTTGTCATCATACCCAGGACGGAGAATATACTGGGAAACGAAGACAGTTAAACATGCTACTAAAGAAGCTAGTTCCTCTAACAACTATCTGGTTTATGGTTTTGTTCTTCAATGGGCGAAGCAATCCACACTGTCGTGTATTTCAAATGACGCAACGAAGTAAATGGTAGAAAAGCAAAGATCTATTTGCGCCAAGTTCTGTAAGAGCTAATGGAGATTCGGTATTCAAAGAATTATGCCGCCTTTATCGAAACGTAACCGTAGCAACATATAAAAAGCTCTTGCTACTGATTTTACTTGGCGTTATACCCAGGAGATTGATAGGAGCAAACCGTGATCGATCGATACAATAAATGCCGGATCGATACAATAACTTTAACGGAAACGGGAAGAGTAAGATAGTCAAAAAGGCGAACTAGTACAAATAAAATTAGATTGCAAGTTATTATATGGCATAACGTCTACTAAATGACTTACAAGGATTTGAATGTTAGAGAGTTACTCTCGCGTCCGGAATAGACGGTTCGTCCGGCTATTTAAAACAAAATCTTCAACCGAACCACTGTTGTTCCAGACCCCACGATTTATTTTAATTTACATTTAATATCAGTTTGTCTTTTTATCCCAAAGTCGTCTCACAAATTTTGAATTAATTTTTCCAACCTACCCTTTTATTCCCATCTACTTGCCTATTCTAGACTTAAGCGTAATCGATTTCAAAGTAGTACTTCTTAATCCAAGGATTACGACTATCTTTTCAGTTGTAATAAATATTTAGGGAGAGTCTATTTTGCCGGCCCCGAAAAAATAGGACAAACCTGCTTTAAAGCTTATTTTGAAGGTCACGGTAAAACAGCGGTAAATATTATATTATATTATGAAGGCAGGTAATGTTAAAAATAACAAGACAGATTTAACACTGAAGTTTGTTTATTTTCACCATCAGTTGTGAAGACAGTTAAAAATCATTTTTTCATCATCAATTATTAGAAGAAATATGGAAGTCTCTGAATATTTTAAACACTCCTGGCATAACAGTCTCTGCAAATCTAAAACTTGACTTTGGACATGATTCTCCTGCCAATACACTTCGGGTGCACCCACTGAAGACAACATTTACAGACATGTTGTTTAAGTCCTGCCTACATGGCTCACTGCGCTGACAATCTCAAATAAAATATATTTGCTATGTTTGGTATATCTCTGAGTGTAGTAGCAGTCATAACAGAGTTCTCCATGTTACGTTTAGCAAACGGGTTCGCTATGCAAATGCTCTTCTGTTCATCAGTTGCTCTCTATTTATATTTGTCTATCTCATTTGCATACGATACTACACCTCCCTGAATCGGAGAGGTCGTATACCTTTGTTTATTTTTTTCTTTTACTATTCCTGGTTATTCTCGTACAGTGCCGTGCTTCCTCTAGTCTTTCTTGTTTTCTCTTCAAATGTCATTTCTTCTAATTCGCTCGGGTAACACATTGTCAAAACTTTCTTCACAGCCTCGCACCCATCAGTAGCAAGAAATAAATCCATTATCTCGTTCTCTCCTCCTTTGGTCTTTGTGTCTCTTAATTTTTCACTCTTGCAAATGCAGCAAAATTTCTTATACATCTTTCTATGTGTTCTGGGTCGTCCAGCGAATTTAACGATCCTATTGGTGACGCCATTGTTATGGTTGGTATATCTCTCTGTGTAGTAGTAGTCGTAACAGAGTTCTCCACGTTACGTTTAGCAAACGGGTTCGCTATGCAAATGCCCTTCTGTTCAATGGCTGTTCTCTATTTGTCTATTTCATTCGCATACGATAATGCAATGTTCTTGGTTTTCAAATACTCTTTATATTTACCGGCAAAATAACCACGGTATCTATTTTACCGGGACCGGCAAAATAACCTATTCGTAAAATCTAACATAAAATTTTATTTAATATTAAAAAAAAAAACATATAAGAACCGAAATATACGAGGGGATTTCATTTATATTTCCCCTTCTGAATTTGGGAGCATGAATGTTAACGTCCCCGGAAAAAAAATCAACCCTGTATAGTAGAACCGGTATCCGAAAATGGATGATTTTAAACTCCTCAAAAAAATGCCTATGTGACCCCCTATTTTTGCATAAAAAATATCATAAAACTCGAGTATATACGATCAATAATTATTGGTGTAACACATACTTCGTTTGATTTCAGGTATATTTTCTTGGTAATCTAATATTGCATTATGGGTGATTGCGAAACTCGATCAGCCTTCATAAGAAAAAATGTTTAGTGAAAAGCTCTGACTTAACCAAGTGGACGTTGCGACAGAAATACACGAGGACGGTACTTTGAAAAATATCTATTTAGAAAATTATAGATAGCAGCGGTCTGGTTGAAAGTCTCCAGACAATATCTTGAAATTGGCAAAAGCGCAACCAAACTTCGCCTACCTTTCACAAGTTCCTATCTCAGTGAGTCTGGATTCGCGATTATTACACACAGAGGAAATATAGATATCGAAAAGCGATATCTATTCGACGACATTTCTCTCTTCATCTCTGAGACAATGGCCTCTCTTCTCTAGAACCAAGGATTGATAAGCGCATAACAGACAAGCCCCAATTTGACATTAATTTTATCTTTTCACTTAGTAAAAGTTCACTCAAGAATAATCTAGTCTTTGAAACGATAATAATAATAAAAAAAATCGATGCCATCGGTAAATGATTCAGAGATATAGTAATAGACGAAACGACGCAGAACAGTTGTCGATCAGAGGAATCTTCTAAAATCTGGCCAACAATCGGAATTATTTTTAACTGCTGGTTGGAACAAGTATTTTCGCTCCACCTTCTCATAGTCTTTTGAACCAACATTCAAAACCTTCACTTTCACCAGGACTTGAACGCCAACAAGTCGCTTTAAAAACAAAATTACGGCCATATCACTTTGAAACACCGTATGATCACCGAAGTTAAGCAACATCGAGCCTGGTCAGTACGTAGATGGTTGACCGCTTGAAATTATCAAGTGCTGTAAGCTTGGATGTGCGAACGGCGTAAGGGTTTGAAATTGTTAATCGTGGAGCCGAGTTCCAATTCCAGTTGGGTTCGTTATATCCACAAGTGCAAATACACTTGTGAAAAATATGAATCCACCTCTTCTCTCCCAACTGTGGGTTTAATTACAATTTGTATCACTAAATCTTTATTATAATATTTATTTAAAAAATTATAACATAAGTAACTTATAAAATCACTACAAAAAATAGCCATATTGTTTCCACACTGCAACATTATTATATGAAAAAAGTCTTACAATTTAAAAATATTTTCTGGCTTTAAATAACCTGCACAGTGTTGATAAACCGTAACAAACGAATAAATCATTCAAAAGCAAACAACTGACTACGTCCCAGACTTGTCCTGGATGGGAATAAGGCGCCATTGACTTCGATAGGGTATAGTTTATACTAATATTAAATGCCTGGATACGTTCGAAGGCATGCATATATTAGATTTTCTTTTTTGTCATTATATGTAATCAGATATATATCAACGTGTTCCGAAAGTAGTTATGCCTCAACAGAAATGATATAAAAGTTAATGTAAATTACATTTATTTAGATATCTTTTATCAAGATGTCATCACCTTTATTTTCAACGTCTTGATTAGGACGATAAACTCCACCCAAAAGCAGGGACTCTGATCGAAAAATTATAGGTTTAATTGCTGTTTTTCAAATTTCCACTCTGATTCGGAATGGTACCACCTGTTAACTTCCCAGATATAGGCAAATAGTTACCCCCCACTCAAACAAGGGCGAAAGACTATGAAACTATAAAAATACATTTTTGTAGTGAAAATACCAGCAACAATTTTTTTTTAAAAAATAGCGGCAATACATTTCTGTAAAAATAAAATAAAATTTACCATTTTTGAAAAAAATTACCAGAAAGATTTTTTTTGTAAAGAAAATTACTAATGCTCCCAAGAAAATTAAATTTGATAAATTAAAGTTGATATCCCGCTAAACAGACGTGCCAGACTTTTATAGATATACAAATGAATAATACTATATGGATATTGTAGATTTTAAAAGTACTCTAATGTACTGATTACTGAATGAATATTAGCCAACTCGTCTAAAAGTATTGTTCTACTCATATTAACTATATTCCTGTAAATATAAGTAGATTGTTACAACAAAAAGTACAATTAATTATTTGAAAAATCATTACTCCAGTACCAGCATCCTGAATATGACATTTTTTAAGTTTAAAAGAAATAGAGATTTATATTTAGCCATTTTAGATTTGACAAATATACCTATATACTGATTGCGAGCGATTTATTGCCGGCTAATAGAGACTTAA